TTTAAAGCATATCTGTTTTACTTGACAATATATTTTTTTTATTCTTTTACTACTTATAGAATGATAGAAATGTGCTGTGAAAAAGGAATACATATCAATAAATAAACGCATTCTTCTATTGCTATTTTTGAATAATGCAAAGTCCAAATTTAATAATGCATATTTATAAGAAGTGCTGTAAAAGAAAAATATGCAATTACCAAATAGTAGGTAAATTGCGAACTCAAGATATTATTCTAAAAATATGTCCAGTAAATATGTGATTATTTTTCTTGTGTTAAAAGAAATATAAAAAGTTTGAATAATTATATATTCATTCAATATTGCCAATATTATACAAATCACATGGTTTATGTTTACAATTAGATGAAATAGATTATTTACGCTTACTAATTATGTATGTTTCTCCGAATAATATTCTACTATTTTCTAATAAGTAATTGTAATAGTTTCTGTATATAGGAATTAAAGAAAACCAATAAACCACTGCATAAATTATTTAAATCAATATAGACGAGAATAATGTATAGTATATTATAATAAGCGCAAAACCTAATTTATCTCAAGGTGCATTGTTCAGAAATAAAGATATGCTACACATTATATTGATATGTATTCAAAGTCTATACAAGTAGCAGTATTAACTAATGCTAATGCACTGCATAATGAAATAATGAATAAGTAATGATAGTTATTTTACATAGGAATGACTATTATTACTATTATATATACTTATTTCTTTATATGTACTCTCTATTGTACATCTCTGTGCACCTTAGATCCTTCTGTATTTATTCATAAATTATAATCCAAAATTGAAATAATTATACTATAATAAAAGGACACGTGATAATTATATAAACACTTCTTTCCTATATATAACAACTGTAATTAAATGAAATAACACAATATTTGCTTATCTACGTATCCTTCATTACCTTTACAATAATATTAAAGTGTCTTTTTTAGTCGGAAAATAGTGTTCTTTCAAATAACCGGATGATTAATACTACAGAAATTCCTAAGTAATGTCTATAATGCATGACATAGAATTTTATCCCGAAATATAGGATATATATGCAATTCATACAAATGAGCAACAAAATGGGTTTTCAAACATTCAGTAGTATGCGCATGAATATATAGCTGAATATAAGAATAATGTTGTGAAATTCAGCTCAATCTTTACTTTAATAATAATTCTGAAATTATAATATCGAAATTCACTATTTGCAAAAACACATTTTGTATTATATTTTCTTGAAAACGTACACTACGGGGAAAATATCAAATTAATATGTTTTACTATCTATGCTAGCTTAAATATATATATTTAGAACAGCCTTACTGACATTTTACAAAATACAATAATTTACAACATATAATAAGGACTACAATTGAATTTCGTTATTTCTATTTTTAGAAATTAGGTGTATATTATTTTGTATAAATTCAATATTGTATGTAAAAAAATACTATTCATCAGTAAAGGAGGCCTACATAACTATCAATACACTTGGATTATGTACTTACCATACCTTCTTATCTTACTGCTATTAACAAATATCAATAAGGATAGAAAAGTAAAAATTACACTAATAGTATTTATTAATAAGAGTGTGTACAAATTCCAGCAATCAAGGAAACGTGAATAATAATATTCTACATTTTCTACTATTACATTTTGATTGCACAATACAATACTAAAATATCGCAATTATGAATGTATATAGAATGGATACTTTTTTATAAGGAGAAGCGGCAATCTTTTCTTATCTATTAAGTACAATAACATAGAATAGCTATATTGTACATATATATTTATACATACATTTATCTGAATATTCATATTTTTAAATGATATTTTTACAATATATATTACCTTCTTATTCCATAATTAGTAATGTGAATATCTATATATTAGTATTAATCATTGATAATAACATATATATATATTTTGAAAAAAATAGACATTGATAATATAAACTAAAGAAAAAGAACAATTGTTCATAACATGTGAATAGAAAATATAGAATACATATTATATATGTTAATATATGTTATAATTATAATATATATATCATATATGTTAATATATGTTTAAAATTAATATATATATAATATATATGTTAATATATG